GCCATGTACAGGCATTCAGTTTCTACCAGGAGAATCCCCATTATCCCGGTAGAAACCAAAAGTCTGTATACATTCAGGCTTTTTCTCCTGGACTTGAAATGGCAGTTCCACGACAAAAAAACAGAAATATAGTTTACTAGAATCAGGTTGAAGTTGACTGGGGAGACTTTCTCTTGTAGGGAATGAATGATTATATACTTTTCCCTGGCTTACCTCCTCTTAGTTGTCAGGAACTAGGAGCTGGAAGAAAGGCTTCTGTGGCTTTCTGAGACTGGGAGTCACTCCAGCCTGGAGAAGGCACAGAGGGCAGCTTCTGTAGACTGGGAGTGGAGGAGCAGCTGCCAACCACTTCCTGTCAGCTCCTCATACATTGAGGTCCCTAGTGTGAGAAGAAGGCTTTGCCTTGCTGCTTCCTTCATTTGGGCACCAAGGGATGGGCAGGGACAGGAGTGCCACCATCCCCCTGCATGGTTCTAACACTGGATCCCCATGTGAGAAGTGGGCTAGAGGCTTTACCCTGTTGCTCTCCTCTCTCCCCAAACCAGTCCAGAAGGGAAGGGGAGTAGCCACCACTGATACCTGCCTCTTCCCCAGCCTGGGGAACAAGCTGGGGGCTTTGCCCCAGTGCTCCGTTTCATTCCCAGACACTGGGAGTGGAGTGGAGAAGGCTGCTCCCTATCTGTTTGCCTGATTCTAGCCTGGGGAAGATGCAGGAATGATTTCCTCACTGCTGCCCACAGTCTCTGGGCAGAGTAGACCAATCACTGCTCTCCGTGTCTTCTCAGGACCTGGATCACTCTGAACTCAGAAAGACACAGAGAGCAGGGGAGAGGGACAGCTGCAGGCTGAAAGCTCCATCTCCCAAAAAGATTTCTACTGCTGGAAATTTTCATGGCCTTTGTTTTCTTTATCTTAATTTAATTTCACTTATTTTTCTCAACATGCCATAAGAAGAAAAGACTAAAAATCAATAGTATGTGTTGATATTTTTTTGTTGTCTGGAGGGACAAATTAACGGCATTGCCTACCTTCCTCTCATTTTGTCTGCCATTATACCACTTGACCAGACCACTTTGCAAATAGCTAAAAAAGACCCAAGAGTTTCAGGTGGCTTTTTCACTTATGACCTAATCCTTCAGACTTTGAAGTTAATGAAAGTTTTTCCTTTCTATTAATTACAGTGAGAACAGGATTCGGCCTTTTGTAATGAAAATATTAAAAGAATGGAAATACGTAGGTGGTGTTTGCTCAACATAGAATGAAAACAACTGTTGTTGATCACTTAAAACCTAGGCTCATTGGCTGCTTACAGATGTGGAAACACCTCCCCCCCCATGGCACTTTAAGCTCAGAGTGCAGCGCATGCCCAAAAGAGACATTGCATTAGTTGGACCCGCTTCACTCAACATCTGTATAGATCAGGCGCTTTAGTGGGGATTTTGGGGCACTTTTATCTAATAGATAATTGAATCAGCTGTTATATGAAAGTGCCAAAAGCCTGCTGAAGCGCCCAATTATACAGATGCTCTGGAGCCGGATCGAACTAACACGCTGCCTCTTCTGGTAAAGCATTGGGTTTTTTTCCATGACTGTTGGTGCCCATTGATGCACAAATTTAGACCCTTTGAGATAAGAGAACATTGAGTTAATAAAAGTTGATGGTAACATTTTAGAAAATGTTTGGAATCTAAAATGAGCCACTGTTTGATCTAGCAGCAGTGACAAAAGCATTCTTTCCTTTTTGAAAGAAAAGGAAACATTTTTGTGATTCTGCAAATATGTCAGATCGTTTTGAAGAGGCTTGTAAGTGCTGGGATATTATTGGTTTTTGTTGTCAGAATATTTCATTTTTTTTATCATTAGGCTCCAAAAAGAAAAAAAACAACTGGTATGTTTTGTCATCATATTCATCAGTCATAATTTTTGTAGGCAATTCTTGACACACTCCCTGTTTTACTGTGCTAACAAGAGAAAAGACCAGCCATTAAGTTTATGTTTCTTTGTTTTTGAACAAAGTCACATATCAGGAATAATGCTAGAGGTATGCTAATAAACAATATATAATGCTGGTCATCTGGGAGTAAGAAATATTTTCTAACTAGTTCTAAAGGGAAACAATGTTTAAAAAAAACGATTGTTATTTATGCAATATGTGTTGTTCTGTATGTCAGCATCAAAAGCATCTTGTAAAGTGCTCAACATGATAAATCTTTGATCCTGATTGTCATTATTTAAAGGCTTATGATAGATTTAGATGTACTACACCATATTCACATTACCTACATAATAGTAAGTTTTTGGACTGCATCTGCATTTCTACCGATGATTTTGGTATGCCACTACATACAGTCATAAAAAAGGAAAAATTATTCGAGCTCCTTAAACTGCAGACCTTTCAGGTTTTATTTATCAAATTGAATTCAAGCCAGATTTGTTTTCTAAGCTGTGATGATTTCATTTATCCATGCAAGGCTTTGACTCTGTTAAACTGCATGAAACAAAAGTTGGTTTAAATAAAAAAATCAGTAAAGAGATCTGTTCTTTCCATGAAAAAATCAGCAAAGAATGTTTTGTTACTGTCTTTGAAAAAACGAAAATAGTCACTAATGGCTTCCATTCCTGAATTTTAAACAAAAAGCCATTTTTTAAGATAACCCTGTAAGCACACTTTATTTTGGGCCTGATTTCAATTATTCAGGGAGTTTTACATTTAGTTTATACCAAAAAAAGGCTTAGATTGGAAAACCCTTTGCATTTCTGTGAGGTAGCTTCTGCAGGGTAGGCACAAACTGAAGCTTATTATCTCTATTCAGCAAATGCTAGCCTAGAAATGACACGGGGTTGCCTTCACGTACTGGTCTCTGAGTATATTCGCTTTGAGAAAAAAGGTGTTTTTAAAATGTGAGAAGTAACACTTGGTGGCTAACATGTTTCAAAACCCAGATATAGAGTCACAGACAATTAGGGTTGGAAGGGAACTCAGAAGGTCATGTAGTTCAACCTGGTGCTCAAAGCAGGACCATCCCCAGTTATATGATCCCAACCAAGGCTTTGTCTACCCAGATCTTAAACCTATAAGGATAGAGATTTCACAACCTATCTGGGTAACCTGTTGCTTTACTACCCTCCTAATGAGTGAGAGAGTTTTTCTGAATATCTAACCTAAACTTCCTTTGCTGAAATATGAGACCATGTCTTCTTGTTCTGTTATCTGACAGACAAAATTGTAGTTGCCTATTAGGTTGAAGTTACATGTTACACATAGGCCATACTAAAGTCACTTAAGACATGACTCTCTACACATCAAAGCTCATTAACTTGTGCTAACTATTGTTTGAGCATCTCAGAGTTATGCCACTTCAGGCAGGGGTTAACTCTAAGCTGTGCTACCCAGCTAATGTTAAGGTAACTTCAGTTTGTTCCATGGAGATAAACGATGCACAGTCCTCCAGCATCCCAGGATGCACTGCTCCCACTTCTTCCCTGCCCTGCTCATAGCAGGGATAAAGCCCAGGTGTTCTGGCTCCTAATCATGACCTAGTTTCCAGCCCTCTAGTGGCAAGTCAGAGCTGTGCAGGGAAGAAACAGTATGAACCCTTAATGTGTTACTGCTCACAGCAGATTCTAACTAACACTTCTTAACATTCCACAGATTTGGTGTGGTCTAAATGTAATGTGTAACTTCACCCTAATTATTTGGTCCAGATGAACCCTTGTTTCTATCCAGGCAACACATGTTAATATTTCAATTAGCTTTCTCTATGCCAGCCTTTTGAAATGTATTAATAATCAAATGTTATCTGTCACATCTTAAAAGCTACTCTTTCCCTACTCAGTAACATTTACAAAGCTTGATGAGGAAATTTGGGGTCTTGCCTTACATTCTTTGCACACACAAAAGCAATACTGAGATCTTCAGAATTGCAACCTTGAGTGTTTGGGTTCAAATGTATGTTTGAGTAATTTCATACCTGTGAGGAATCTCACTGCATGCTTAGCAGTTTTCAGGTTCCGTTTTCAGGTTTGTAAGCTTCAGCTTACAAAAACACAAATTTGTTGATCATCCAGAGATTTCATAGTTAGCGTTAATTTTGAGCAGAATTTCAGAACAGTTCATTTGCAATGGAACAGCACATCTTTAAAAGGTGCGATTTATGATGCCAAGCCCTTAACTATTTTGTATCAAGAAAGATGAGTTGCCCGAATGAAATCAGATTTTTAGGACGCGGCTGCTTAAGCTGTTTATATTTCCTGGACAAGTGAAATGTTATAGAGAGATGTAAAATACTGTATTATTTTTAGAAGACACTGGAATACAAGTGAAAGTCTTAACATAAAAGACCAGATTATAATCCTGTATTTCTTTAAACCTAATGAAATCTGATCTGATATGCACTGTCTAGAGATGTAAATATTACAAAAGTCAGGGCCCAGTCTACTTTGACAAATGTCATAGATTTCATAGACATTAGGGCTGGAAG